TGCACGTCTGTTTAAAACTGGCGACGCTGGACACTTTTAAAGTTTTGGTAACAAGAACAAGAACAGCAGCAGCAGTGATGCTGTAGGTCAGTGCTTCGCGCGGACCAACAAACAATATATAAAATTGAGGTAATTGGATACATTAAATGCCATGTAACATTTGTAACTTTATCTGCTCCTTGAGGATATTCCCAGTTGTGCACCTTATATAGCACCAGAATAATTGCATTGCAAATCGTTCCCTTCCTGCTTGGCACCAATATATTTTCCTGAAAAACACAAAGTTTCTTGCCCAAAGCCACTACTTAGGCAAACCAATACAAATTAAAACATGTCTATGACTTTGTTGATAAGTCTCGATCCCTAAGGATAAAATGCCAATTACAAGATGCAAATACATTAAGATTTAGAACTTGTATGATGAGGCTAAATAGGATAGGATTGATTTGTAAGCAGCCTGTTTGTAGATTAAGTTAGGCTTAGAGAGACACTCGTATGATGAGGCCAAATAGCATTGACTGATTTGTAATTTAAGTCAGGCTTTGAGAGACACTCGTATGATGAGGCCAAATAGCATTGACTGATTTGTAAGTTAAGTTAGGCTTAGAGAGACACTCGTATGATGAGGCCAAATAGCATTGACTGATTTGTAAGTTAAGTTAGGCTTAGAGAGACACTTGTATGATGAGGCCAAATAGCATTGACTGATTTGTAACTTAAGTTAGGCTTAGAGAGACACTCGTATGAGGCTAAATATGATAGGATTGATTTGTAGATTAAGTTTGGCTTTGAGAGACACTCGTATGATAAGGCTAAATAGGATTGATTTGTAAGTTAAGTTAGGCTTAGAGACAACAATTCTGTTTAGCTGTACCATAGGTTAGGTTTATAATGGGGAAAGATGAATTAGGCTTAGTGAAAATAATTGTATTTGTAGAAAAAGCTATATTAAGGAGAAAACTGACTTTGTTATAGGTTAAATTAGGCATAAAAAGAGAACTAGTTTTTAGTTTTAGTAACTTTCTTTGAATATCAGTTATACTTCTGAAAATAATTTGAACCCATGGTGATTAGTGGATTACAAACTAGGCAACTGAGCCACCTAACTATAGATTCCCATAAGTTATCAGTTTAAAAATAAAATAGCTGTTAATAACACACCTTATCAGCGGCATCTCTTCTCGAAGGTGTCTCTCTCGCTCGCAACACTTTCCCAGACTCTGTCTGTGGCACCATGATCTGGGTGGCAATAAAATCCTATTCAATTAAAAAAAAAAAAAACTTTAAAAAAAATTGTAAAAACTGTAGTAAGAACATAACATACAACTCAATTCCCACAGACATCATGGTTGTTGGTTGATGCCTGTTGGACCATTCCTACTGCAAATGCTAGTAACAAAGCAAGTAATGCCCCTCATCTTACCCAGGCGACCGGATTTCACGGGAACGATCGTTTCCGGTACCGTGTGGTTACTGTGGCCAACAAGTCATTTCCCATGTCTGGCCTAGCCTAGCTAGGCCTAGCCAGAATTTACAAACACTCACCACAACCATAATTTGATCCGACCGTATTGATTCCGATGACCATCGCCGCCGGCAGTAGTCGCGACCTCACCTCCGCCGCGGGTTGGTAATAATAAATAGTAAAAATTTTTATCTTTGTCGACAATATTTTTGCGTTGATTAATTGATTTATTTTGTTATTTATTAACAGGCGTTTAGTTAATTTTATTTTTCCAATGTTTTGTAAAGGTCAATTTTGTCTAAGCCTAAGCCCAGGCCTAAGAAAGGGCATTTTCCACTGCCTGGGCCCCAACGAATTTATTCGCGTGAATCGAAAAATGTTACCAATTCGCTTGCGCAATTAATTATCAGTGTGATGAAACAAATTAAACTGCGCATGCATATAGGCGAAAATTTGACTTTTCCATGAAAACTAAAAACAGTTTCCGATAGTTTCCCATGATCACAGAAACCAAAAGCAGTTTCCCATGAAACTTGAAATCCTGTGGCCTGTTACCTCAATATGACCCATCACATCGTTTTGCATATTCTTGGCCATCAAGTACACATGATGATCGGAGCTGTTGTACATAATGGCGTTATTGAACATCAGCATCATATCACGTTGGAATTCTTGTGTGCTGCGTATTTCCCCGCTTTCAATATGTTTCTTGATTGTGAATAAATCCATCGGACGGAACACGACACTGCTGTAGCCTGGTGCTATCTCATCAGTGACTGGGTTCAGGAACACATTTGCACACCTTGAAATTGTCAACAAAAAAAAAAATTAATAGAATTCATAGTCAGTATTTGATATTCAATTTTTCTTTAAAATTTCCCCTATACTACTTACTTTTCTTGCTCAAAAATCATTCAAAAGATACATTTTTGATAGTAGCAGAAAAAGCAATCTTGACAAGAAATATGTATAATAAATAGCAAAAATGTTGTATTTACTTGTGACTAGCTGCTGCTCTCCACACCAGCATGATAGCTTTCCTCCAAGCCCTGTAGGAATGATCTTGATCATCACTAATAAAAACAATCAATTGGTGTACATAATCATTAATATTTACATCGGCACAGTTTGCAAAAGACTAACAAATCCACGACTGCAAGGTTGAGTTGTTAGCCTAACCATGGATTAGGGATGGTTGGTAAAATAGGATCGACCATAGGGGGGCGGGGTTTGCTTTCTAGACGCCCGAAAGTAACCTCTGAGGCGTTTTGGGTAATCAATTATTTCTTCTTTCTTTCTTTCTTTTTTTTCACTTTCCAAAAGGGGAAGTCGCG